TGGGCTGGCTGTACGGGGGGCTGCCCGCCTTCCGCAGCGCCCGCACGGCCTTCATCGAGCGCAGCCACGGCGACCTGTTCCAGAGCCGCGCGGACGCGCTGGTACGGGCCGCGGGACAGGGCCAGGCTGCGGGAATTGTCCTTGGAGCCGCGGGGACACCGCGGGCCGTGACCACGTGTCTATAGGACGCGTGGGTGTCTGTGTCTGTCTGTGTGTGTGTGTATCTGTGTGTGTGTGTCTGTCTGTGTGTCTGTCTGTGCCCAGCTTCTTAGGTACTCTCGGTGTCCAAAATACCGAAGTGATTGCTTAGAGTAAGTGCACTCATCCTGCGTGATCAGTTGCTCCGTGAGCTAGCTGCTCCCTGTGACCCAAACTGTGCAGTTAACTTAAAACTGTCCTTTGCTACAGAAGCAGCTGATACCGTTTCCCGTTCGTTAAATGGATCATTCATGTGTTTCAAAGCGCCTTTTTGCTTTTAAGTTTTAGTGTGTTGGCAAGAGACCACATAGTGTCAAACTTATTAATGTGAGTTATTTTAAGGCCATTTAAAGTTCTTTCAGAACAGCAGCACAACAGAGAACATTTGTGACGTTTTCCCAGGTGTATCTGAACTTGAGGAAGAAAACTCCTTTAAGAATCTGCCTGATGTAAAATCTGAATTTTCATCACTCACAATTTGGCCTGGCTTTACTCTGTGGTGTATCTGCACCCAGGCTAAGCACTTTCACCACAAGCACTGGAAGAGAGAATCTACTTAATCTCATGGTATTAACCACACCATTTTTAATTTTTGTGATGCTTCTGTTTATCACATCTTTAAAAAAGCTACTTATTGCCAGACTTCTAAGTGCCAGAGTTAAACTGCAGAGCTTGATGGTCCCTTAACATTTAATGTAGATGGTTATTGTTTATTATTATTTATGATGGTTATTATTTATTAATACTTAGAGAATCATAATAATGAACTAGTTTCTGGTCTTTCTCCTCTGCTGCTCTCCTGTACTGTCCTCAGAAAGCCCTCCCAGTCCCCCAGCTGCCTTTCAGCACCAGAATTAGAAAAGCCACTTGACATTACAAACTGGAATTGATCCTTGGTTTTCCAGTTGGTGACTGGGGTGCTTGTGAGCAGCTTTTCCTCTGAAGATGCCTGACTTGACCCCTACAAGTCAGGGGGTCAGTCCCCAGTGACATCAGTCCCATGCCCCATTCTGAACACCTTGGATTGCAGTGGGGCTGGTGGTGCTGTTAGGGAGGAGTCAGGCTGTGACCTCTGACCTGTCTTTCTCCCCACAGCAATCTGCACATCGTGCTGGTCTCCGGAGCTTCATCCGCTATGGCTGGCGCTGGAGCTGGAGAGTTGCTGTTTTTACAACAATATTCAAGTAAGTGTTTCCCGATGGCAGTGGGAAGAGAGCTTGGCTTGTGCTTAAGCTCTAGTGGCAAGGAGCCCTGTGTGCCAGCAGTGCTCTTCAGAGACTACTGGTGATTGCTTAAGGTTCCCAGGATTGCATTAACACGAGTCTTATTGATAGGGCATGAACGTGAGGAGGGTTAAGCCTTTTAGAATTATCCCAGAATTCAGGTCTAATGAACCAACCCAAACCCTAAAACTGGAAAAGCCCTGTTCATACATCTAGTCCATGCTGACACTGACTGGAACACTGTTGTTCCCTTCCTTGATGGCTTCTTTCTGCTTTTGCTTTATCTCTTTTTTTGTGTTTTTCTCTGGGAGAGTGTTAAGAGTGTGTTGGCAGTTTCTGGAAGAGCTTTCTATCCCACGCTAATTTTTCTCCTTTTTGCTATGTCTCATTGCTCCTAGTTTGAATACACTAGTGCTACTCACAATTTTCTGTCATTACTCCCTGTTACAGTTCTCTGTCACTGCTCCCAGTTTATACACACTAGTGTTACAGTTCTCTGTCATTATGCCTCGTTCGTGTACACTAGTGTTCCTCGCAAGTCTTTGTTCTTGTCCTCAAAGGCTTGCAGAGGATTGTCTTGTTCTTGAGCAGTTGCTGAACATCAGACCTTCCAGTTTAATGTACCTCTTTAGGCCTTCAGATTTTTCCTACACACACACAAAACCAATGCAGAGGTAATGTTTCATCTCCCTGATTTTCTCCCTTGGATGTTTCAGCACATTTCTGACAACAGAGCACTGAACTAAGTATACTCTTCTGAGAAAAGCCCTTTTAAACTAGGAATATCTGCTTCCCTGATGTTCAGAATAAATTTATATGTAGTCCTAAACCTGCATTTGCTCTGTCTGCAGCATTGTTGTTTGAATTCTCCTTCTGCTACTGTGGTACCAGCAGTATTGACTGGCATTATTTTATATTCCCTGATTTTTTTTGTTCCTTTCTGAAATTTCTTCCTCAATCTCTCATGGTTCCTTTGATGCCTTTTGGTTTAATATCTGTTTGTAGGTTTAGTTAGCTTCCTGTTTGCTTTCTCTCCTGGAGTTTTTGATTTCTTTGGATTTTCCTGGATTTCTTTGGATTTGACATGTAGCCTTGTTGCCTTCCACCAGGTGTCTCCCCTGCAGCCAGATCAGCCCCTTTTTCACCACCCCTTTGAAAAAGGCTCTGCTCGACATCAATTGTTTCTGTAAAGCCCAAGTTGAAGGTTTCATCCTGAAGTTGTGCAAATTTTAAGTTTCACAGTGAAACCCCAAATTGTTTTGTTTTACCTGCATTGGGAAGGAGAGGAGGATTGCTGTTGGCTTGTGGGTGTGATGCAGGGGAGGATGTGGCTGCTGAACTGAGAGCAGAGAGTGTTTTGGGGCTTAGCTGATGTTTTTTGAGGAGTTGGTGTACCTACCCCAGTAGGAGATCTCATGCCACAAGAGTAGGTGACTCTGCTGATGTCATCAGTATGACTTAGCTGTAGTGGTGAGGACTGTCTGTCAGGACTGACTGACAGGACCTTTTCACTGCTCAGTTCCTTTTATCCTTGAATATATGATGGAAAAATATCTTTGATTAAAAAAAAGAAATAATATCCCAGATCCACACTGGAAACTGTGGCATTCCCTGGCCTGTGCCTGTGCAGCTGTCTGCAGTAAAGACACAATAGTCAAGGCACTTGTAGCTGGTGCATGTGTTCTCTGAACAGATGGGCAGCAAGGCAGTTAGAGGCTACCTGAGGGTTGGCTTAATGAAATCCATCTTTATGTCAGGCTGTGTTTTGCTACCTCTCTTACTCCATGTGCAACTGCTGACCTTTTCTGTGCCTTGCCTTTGCAGCATGGTGAGCACTGGCCTGTCTGTGTACCGTGATAAAACCACCATCAGCAATTTTGCTACGGCAGGAGGTGAGTGCTGTAACCTTGTGTGCTTTTCTCCTCATGAGCAGGGGTCAGAGGGAAAAGCACAAACAGGTATCCTCACCTCTTGGGTTTGAGCAGGTCTGGCTTCTCTGCTGCTGGGTTTTGCTTCTTGTCTACTGACTGCTGTTGTGACTTTGCTCTGGTGTTTACCTCCTAACAGATATATGAAAGCACTGCTGAAACTATTGGGGGGTTGTGTGGTTATCAGTTCATCCTCAGACTACTTGCTGGGAGTGTTTCAGGTGAAAAAATGCTTGTGTGGGGTAAAGGCAGCACTTGGTGCATAACCTGCTCTTATAACTACCCATTTAAGAGGGAAAGCATTTTTTATTTCCACCCTTGATGGCAGTTCAGTACACTGTTTATGAGTTGCCCTTTTCATGCTAAGTTTTGAGTGCCTGCTTTTGGCAGCAGGGCTCTGGGTAAGTGATCTGCTTGTTCAGTTTTACAGGCTTTATTACCCTTACAGTTGGCCATGTGTTTTAATGATTTTTTTCTGCCTTACATGGGAGCTGCTATTATTAGCTGTTGTTGAACAGAAAAAAGGGGGGAGGGATCATGCTCCGGCCTTGAAAGAGCTCAGTTTTGCTTTCGTAGATACTTTTACTTCTTAGTATTTATTGGGCAGTTTTTCTGAAGCAGAAGAAACTTTGTGCAGTGTTTCAGTGCAGAGACCATGGTGTGGTGAGGGTCCTTCACACTGGCCACAGCACTTGGTTTCTACTCTGTTTGAAAGTAGATGTCAGCTCACAGAGAAGAGAAATGCAGCAAAGCAGCTCCCTGCATTGGTGTGTGATGGCTGGGGGAGGCTGTTTCTGGTTTCAGTGAGTCTGTGATCTTTTTTTTTAGCCTTCACAGGTAGCCTTTTCAGAATGCACTTGGGCCTGCAGGGACTGGCAGGTGGCATCTTACTCGGAACACTGTTTGGGTGAGTTGTGACTGCTGCCAGTGAGTGACTGAGACACTTAAAGCTACTCTTTAAGGGTGTTTGTTAGACAGTGGCCACAACACCAAGCTGTGAGTCATAGGTGGGGCTACAGAGGCTTCCCATCCTCTCTTGCATTGAGGGATTTTCTGTATCTCTCTTGGGAGTTTATAATGATCTTCTTTCAACCTTTAAACTGGTTGTATTTCTTCTTTGTTTCTTGATTTTGCTGCTCTCTCAGTAATAAAGAACTGAGTGCTCTCAGTAGAGCTGCTTACTTGCTGCTATTTGCTTATTAGAGGGGACACTAACATTGTTAAATAGTAAATTGTGAGGATGGGTTGGTTATAGACATGTCTTGTGTCCCTCCTTCCTTGACTTAGTCACTGATGAGCCCAGTGCTTGTGCACAAACCCCTTGGACATCTGCTCGTTTTCCCATGCCAGTAAGTTACTGTTGTTGTGTGTCCCCTGGGTGACTTGTGACTTTTCTGCTTCCTCCTCTAGGATCCCTGCAGGAGGCCTCTTAATAGCAGCACATAGTTTGTCTGGTGAGACCTTGCAGGAGAAGAGGAATCGAGAGCGCAGGGAGCTGTATGAACAGAAGTTAGCAGAGTGGTAAGGAACAGCTCTGTCTTTTTGAGTCATGGGCTAGAAGGGTGTCTGGATCTGTGTCAGGAGGATACAGGCATAAATTTGCTTTGCACTCTCTCTTCTCTCATTAGGCAGTCCAGGCTTGGTGTGACTGAAGACATAGGCCAAACAGAACCCAACACCCAGGGAGGACCAGAGATGGAGAGAGCAAGAGAATTTAGGAGCCACTGAGTCTTCCCCAGATCTCTGTTTTAAGAAGCCGCAAAGAATTTTGATTCTGCTCGTAAAAGTCTTGAGTCAGTGGGTCATGGAAGTCTTCTGTGGAACGCAGTTATGTCCTGTGAAAAAGTGTTTTGCTGAAAACATTGTTCATGGATGCCTATCACTGCACAAGAGTTTGGAAGGGCCAAACTTGTTCCACCTGAGAAGGTGGAAATGCAAATTTTGCAGACTAGAAAGTGTCATCTAGGTTTGGCAGGGAGTGAGGGCAGCCCCAGAGCCTCGTCTGGAACCCGTTTCACTGCTGGAAATGACCAAACCACCAGCAATGTAGGAATCTCCAAGGTGAGAGCTTATGAACAGTTTGTATGCTGAAGGTGCCCTGATTCCTAAAGTTAATTATGCTCTGGTGAAAGCAGACAGTGCTTGAAGAACTTGCTGATGGTGATTTCTTCAGGCTCGTTGCAGAAAAATGCACTTGGTTCCTACATTACTTGGGGTATTTTGCTGTCAGTGTTGAGGAAGGGTGGAGGAGCTGGGAATGATACAGAAATACCCTGAAATAGTCATGGTTTGGGTTCCTCAATAGAAGTCTTGAGGGTGCCACAGGGAAGATGACTTATTTGTGATGGTGATGGTGGAAGACTTGGCACTGTGCACAGTTTTAAAAATAAAAAGACTTCTAATTTTATTTGAAGTTGGAAATCTGGGGATTGTCTTTGGGGAAGTGTGGTTCAAGACACTTAGTAAAGCCATCTAGCAGTGGGGGTTGTGTCTGTAAGCTCTTGATGTCCATGCAGTATGTAATGTCAGTACAGTATTTGCATTAGAGAAGCATCCTTGAGTAACATCCCATGAGAAGAGCTCTAGCTACAATCCCACCAGCAAAGAATAAAGTCTGGTGGGAGTGTCAGAGGTTCCTCTAACCAGGCAGTAACAAAGGCAAGAACCAGGAGAGTGCCAGCTCTGTTGATTATTTTGATCCAGAGATCAACTTTTAAGTCACTTCTGTTCCCTGTGGGTAGGGCTGAAGTGGACGTAAAATGATCTGAACCCAGAAGGGCCAAGTGGCCCATCACTGTTCCCTCAAAGCAGAAGGCCACAGTTCTGGTTCCCTTTCTTCAAGGAAGATTTTTCTTCTACTAAAGGGAATTGCATGCAGGCAGGGGGTTTGGGTCTGTTTCCCACAAGAAAAGAGTAGTCAGTCTGTTCTGGTTGAATGCTTTTACAGATAATTACTGTTGATTGAAATATGAACAGTCGATCCCACAGAGCATATTCCACCCACCCAAAGCAGATTTTTTGGCACAGTTTGCTTTCAAGAAGGTGTTGTGTTTTCTGACTTCTGAAATGAACATTTAATTTTTTAAACACCCCAGTGTAGCTCATTTTTCCATTGAGGAAATACACGTGTTTTAGGGTTGTCATTAAACAGTTCTGATTTTCCTTTTCTATGTGATCCTTCACCTGCAAGTGAAGGATCTGAATAAGCAGAGGAATGGATATGGCTCTCCCTGTTTTAAGCTCTGCACGCATTGGTGATAGTACTGTTATTGTCCTCCACCCCCTCAAAAAAGAAAATATCAGGCCTTTCTGAGTCACATTTTTGCCATTGTGCTTACACAGCAATGTCTTATCTTTTTCTTTTTTATCTTCTTTTTTCTTTTGCTATTACATCCCCACCCAATATCCCACACTCTTATCTGTACAGCAGTTCTGATGACATTAGCTGTGTCATTGCTCAGTCTCTGTTCCTGTTTCGTGGTATTTGATGTGATGTCTAAAGAATACTAATTTCCTCGTGCCTGATCATTGATGCAGGAGTGTTCTTCCACGGGAGGGTAGGCAGAGCCAAGGTGTAGCAGTTGTGTGGATTTTCTCTCTGTGTAAGGAAGGGGGGAGTGCTAGATGTCCTTATGCTGCACATCAGCAACAAGAAGCAGAGACTTTGAGCTACACTCAAGATTAGCAGCCATTTGTTTCTCAGTTTTCTGCTGGATTTAGTTCCTTGCACTTCCTTATTTCTTATATTCAAGTCACTGTCCAAAAAGGGGTGAGGAGTTGGCTCAGAGCTGATTTTTTTAATACAAATGTAAGGGATTCTTCACACTCTCACTCCCTCCACTGCCAGCAAAAGCACAGCATAGAAGTTATTGACCCTCCCCTTTCAGAGTACCTGACACAAGTACCAGGGATACAGTGAGAACATGTTACACTGGATTTTGCTTCTGCAGAGAACCTCCTGTTTAGAGGGAGAAGGACAACCTGTAGCTACACTGCTCAGTTAGTCTCTGACAAATTGAGTCAGAGGTATATGGAATTCACAAGTTTGGTACCTGAGTGCCATTTTTAGCACACCAAACAGAGCTGTGGCTTGGTGCCACCTGTACCTCTTACAGCTTTCTTGACTGCTGCATCACCTACCTTGATGCTGCACTGTGTGTGTTTTTAGCAGCTGTGAAATGGTGGCTGGGACTTGTGTGGATAACTGAGAGGCTCTACCACTTTCCAGCATGTAGAGAGACACATCTTTGATTACTGATGAAAGGAAACAAGTTTACCATTTATTTTTTAATACAATTAAAGGAGGAACTCTGGGAAAAAATATTGTATACAAAACACCCATGATAAACAGAGCAGCTCACCTGGTACAAAGACCCAGATATTAAGCTGAGAAGGTCTCACAGAAACCATTTGTGTGCAATTCACTGAATACAGCATAAGGCAATAGAAAACACGATTCAGAGTATTAGTGCTCAAGGAAAAATAAACCAAATAACCTGCCCATCAAGAATATAAAACCAACCTGATGCTAGACATATTTGTCAGTGAAACTTTTGGCTTCCTTTGAAGGAGTTACTGAAAGTGTCACTGGAGACTGTGGTGATGCCGAAAGGTTTGGCACAGTGCACAAGACAACCCAACCCTTCTCCAGGAGGCAGCACAATCTTCAGTCAGGAGCAGAAGTAGAGCATGGAATCGTCCAAAGGGGAAATTGCTGGTACAACTGTCAGAGCTGTGGTGTGGTTGGCAAGGTGGAGTTGCGTTGTAGTTATCGGGAAGGACAGTGTTGGAAATGAGTGTCAAAAGAGAGTGTTCAGCATGCAAGAATCTGGTATTTTGTGCTGGAAAGAAGAAGAAGCCTGAGAAGTATGAGGCATCATTGCCCAGACGCCAAGTCCTGCTGGGTCAGGCTGCCTTTTGGAAACACTGCTTTCTGTCACCTATGTTCTGTTTGCAACCAGAATGCACAAGTACAGTGTATTGTTTCCTTATCACCCAGCTTTACGTCCTTTTCTCTTTCAAAAACCTCTCTCTAAGAATGTTCTGAAGTTCCCATTCCACTTCATACAATGGGAAAGCAGTAAAAAAGCTGATGGAACAGCATAACACTGCAGGAGTAGAAAGGGAGCAGTGTCTTATTCTTTACTACTGATCCCTTAGCCTCTTATAGCTTAATCCTCTATAAACCACTCTTAGTCCTCCTGTTTCCTCATGCTGTTTCTCTCTCAATATGTACCTGCCATAAAAAAAAAAAAAAGACGTGGAATATGTCTTTGCTGTGTCCCAGCAAGACAAACAGCTCAAGCAACAGCACATCTCACAAAGAGAATGGCCATGGTGTTTTCAGGCTTAGTTCTGCCCTGGTAACATGGAGAGAGCAGTAAGGGAATGGGTACAGCTTGCAGTGGGACAGAGCAAAAAGGAAAACCATACGTCAAACTCAGGGCAGGGTTGAGTTGGGTTAGTATGCAGAGTTGCTTAGGAAGCTGCTAGGGGCTTTTTCCTCCTTTCCCCTTAAAACGAGAAACCACTTTTTCCTACACAGTAGGCAAGAATGTCACCCAGATCAGATGAGTCCTATCCAATGTTAGCATCCTGGAGGGAAATTCAAGGCCTGACTTGGCAGAAATCAGCAACATTCAATAAAAAGTAAATCCCTATGTTACTGTGAGAGACTCCCAAGAATTTGCAGAGCCTACCCTAACGAGTATCCCTAGTCAGATGTACAAACAAAAGCAGACCTATGTTTATGGAGCAAGGCCATGAGTTGCATCTCATTACAGGAGATCCATGCCAGATAACCACTGACTAACACAAATTCCAATGGGACTTCACAGGTGTGGGTAGGAAGGAATTGCATACAAAAGCTTGTACTTGTATATGCACGGAGGTGTGCACATGTGTGCCCTCACACACCACTGCAGCTGTGCTGTGCCTCATGTGCTCCTGCATCTCTCAGCAATTTAATGGAGGAGCTGTATCTCAGTACCTGGGCTGGGAAGGCTTTTCCTTTCAGGAGAGAAAGGTTATGAGAACTTGTGCCACTGCTGTAGGTAAGCATGATTAGTTAGCTGTTAGGTGTGCTGTCAGTATATGTCATTCCCTAAGAAGTCTCACAGCACTGCAAATAAGCATGAGGCATATAGTCTCACCTCAAGGTGTTTCTTTCATGAAAAGCATGTGCATTATGGCCTCTTTAGGGGAGGAGGGATATACATGACCATAAAAGTCACGTCCAGATTCAAAGTCCTCCAGCACAAAGAACAGTACTGGTGAGGTTGAATATAAAAGAAGTTTTAGCTGCTCCCAGTCACAACATGGAGGCACAGCCTGACTTGAGCTTGTGTGTCGGGGTCTGGGCCTCCCAAAGGCCAGCTCTGCATTCCTAAAGGGGTAGGTGGGCATGTGCAGGCTCCCTGATTCTCAGCGGGGCAGCACCAAGCCAGAGGTTCCCAAAGTCTTGAACTGGTGTGTCGATGCTTCTTCTGCCCCATTGCAGGAACACGGAGGGTCCTCCCAGTTGGAATTCCAGCGACCCCATTGTAGAGACCACCCTACAGCTTCTGTGGTGTAGGTGGGGTCTTGTATTCATTCACACAAGATTATGTCGTCAGTCATCTTGAAGCAGAGTTTTCTACTGCTGTCATCCCCTTGCAGAGAGCCAAAGAGTCAACACAATAAGCATTGCTGTACAACGAACAGTGGAGTCTGCAGTGCGGAATACACAGGAGGAGAAACCTGAGGGAATCAAAGAAAAGATTTTACAGGATTTCCCCCCCCTCTTAATCTTAAATGCAAGCCAGAAATGTTGCCGAGCCGACAAAAGGGTATCACCTGCGATAGCCCTCCACAAGAGGGCTCCTATTCCATAAAATCGGAGCTGTTCGGAGCCGCTGTGAGCTGCAGCCTGGCTCAGCGCTGCCTGCGAAAACCTTTGGAGTGTACAGGGATGCTGTCCCTCTGCCGACCGAGGGTGACTAACCAATGCACTGCCCTGTTTAAGCAGCAATAGGACATGGCTCAGTGCATCACGCTGTTACAGGGTGGCTGTGAGCCGCTAAGGAAGCACAGCTCCCATCCCTGTCCACAGGCAGCAGTTGTCCCTGGCACTGGAGCTGGGAAACACCAGGCACCTACAGAAAAAGCCTGGCAAACTTTTATAACAAATGAGGAATGTGGCAGAATGGGTTTATTCAGTAGGTGAACTCCTGCCACTCCCATCACAAAACTCCCCAAAATTCATGTTAACCAAGGCTCTAGTATGTTCCAGACAGGGCCTTCCCCACATGAGTGGGTGGTCAGGTTTGGAAATGAGATGAGTGACCTGAACGAGAGTTTCCCCTCATTTCTATCTCAAAATTATTAAGCTTTTAGATTACTGCAACACAGTGTGACAAATTCATGACTTCGAGGACTCCACAGCTGTTGCTTTTACAGCATTACCCTGGCAATTCTGCATGCTGCAGTGAGAGCAGGACAGGCAGTCACCTGGATAATGACTTGAATAGGAGCAGTTAACTGCTAATCTCTCCTTAATGTCTTTTTGGAGGACACAGCCCCGAACACAGCTGAAATGAATATAATGCTCTGTGATCATAAAGCCTTGGTAAGCCAGACTCTTCCCCAGCCCGTCATTGCAAAACTGTATTATCAAATGCATTATCAAACTCCTTTTAAAATACGAGTGTTTCCCAGGCACTCCTAGCTGCTGAAGGGAATGGAGATGACTCAGAAGTGGACTGACATGGCATTTGTTCTCTTGGTCACCCCTCCCTCACCACCATTTGGGTCAATCCTTCATTTCCATGATGTTCCCATGTTTATGCATCAAATCAGGCTTACAGGGAATCAGCCAGAAGTAACTTCTAGGGGGTGAAGCCACATGTTGGACCTATAGTAGTGATGAGTTACTCACAAATGACAGAAATTTACCACAGGATAGGGACTAAAAGACTGCCCAGTCCATAAAGTGAGCATAAGGGCAGTGACAGGGGAATGTCACTGCAGATCCTGATAGTTGGATGACTGAGCTGCAAATCCACCTCTCAGATATTAACCACCTTCCTTACAACAGATTCAGAAGAGACACTGACAGTCAAAGTTGTCAAATGTTTCTTTTCTTTCACCTATTTCTCTTCATCCCCATTTAGCTCCTAATAATTTTATGTTAATAAAGGAAATGAATGCCACAAAAGCTTTCACACCATCCACCCGGGGCCTGTTCTGTGGAGAAAGCAGCTGAGCAGCCCAGCAAATTCACACCTTGAACTTTTTCCACTAGATTAATTTCTAGAAATTTGAAGTAACCCAAATAAAGCAATGTTCTACAAGCAACATGAGCATCATTCCTTTAGTTACTTGACCAGAAAGCACCATGTGTCCAAGCTGGGAATAGAGCCCTACTGCTTTTACTCACCCTAAAAACCAGCACACGCCCATATTAAAAGCCACACATGATGATGTGCCTTAACATCAGAGGAGAATCTAATAGTATTTGAGAAGCAATTTTGCCAAGAGAAGAGTGGTGAAGAAAACTACCTGCAAATGCGATCTGGTCATACAGATGATGTTTCAGATGTCAGTGCAGAGCTCATGGGTAGCTTTGTACTTTCTTTCACTCCCTCTCCCACCAAATCCTGGGGCTTGCTACAGTGAGAACAAACTGCAAGAGAAGATCTCTCATTAGTATTTGAAATTGAAGAAGACATAAAAGTGCTGAATCCAAATGCCTTCTTCAACAAAGTAAAGTATAACTGAGAGTGGGAAAAAAGGAGACAAGAAATTAAAGAAAAAGAGATGCTTTAGGTCTATTACTACTTTAACGTGGTAGGACTCACGTCTGCAGTACACCTGAATGTGGTTGGCCCATAACCATAGTCTGATCTGATAGAAAGCTCTGTTATACATAAATCTTATTTATATAGTGTCATATGGTTAAAACAGCTCTCATTAGCTCAGGGCTAGGACCTCAGCCCTGCACAAAGACAGGCTGCTACATGCTAAGATGAGGTAAAAGAAGGGAAACAGTGGTAGATGTTACATGTCACTAAATGCAGTTTACCTAAAGAGTGAAAGAATGCCAGTGTAAAAACCAACAAACTTTTTCAGTGCTGCAAAAGGAGCTCAGACTAACCAGACCCCCTTAGTATCTCACCATGACTTTTGTTTTCATTTTTCAAGTTGAATTTCTCTGTTCTACTACAGCAAATTATATTTGTGCCAATTTTACAACATGGATCCTAAGCTATTCATTCAGTGACCTCTAATCTTGGTGCTTTGTGTTAAATTAATTGAAGAGCCAAAAAATAAATCTAGAGTTTTCATTCTTAAATTACTGCAAAGATGGACTGTGAACTCCTCAAAGCAGTTGGTTGTGAACCTCAACAAAGCGCCTGCATGTTTTGGCCTTCAAAACAATCGCTTCAGAGAACTCTTACTTCCGTTTTGCTCTGTCTTTCTATTCTTCCCTCCCACACTTCAGCTCTCTGAAGCATAGCTTTCTGAGCTCAGAAACCACTCAGCATCAAGGCAACTCCTGACTCAGCTTTCCATATGCAAGAAGAACAGCGGTACTCTCAGACCTGTTCTGAGCTCCAGCAAGAGCTCTTCAGAGGTGACACCAGCAGGAAGCACTCTTAAGACAGGTGGCAATGCACAGCAGAACCAAAATGGGACAACTGTACAAACTGGGAAGTTGGATGGAAGCTCTGGCTTCAGCTTCTTACAGTATATGCCTGGTCTGGAAAGTGGCTGCACAAAAAAGCACCACCTGACCCAGCAAATCTACTCCTTGTGCCTACTGTGAAAATGGGACTGAAAGGGAAATTCCAGTTTATGCAGTCATGTGCCATGCTGTTCCATATTCTACCATATGGGTATGCTTTTTAGACCTGCTATAAAAGTAATTTGGTTCCTATATAAAAAGCTATCTCAGAATGCTCCAGAATCTTGCTAATTTAATGGTAAGGAACCTTTTAAATTCAGCCTGTATTTATTTAGAGCCAAATCTTCCAATTCCAGTTCATTTTCTCATATAATTAGAAGTTCATTATACATACAGCTAACAGCACAGGCTATGACCAACTGTGATTTTCTTGGTTTTAGCCTGCTTGCTGCTTTCCCATTGACATAGCCCCAGGGAACAGCAGAGAAGAATGAGCACTGGTGTCATAGGGGCACAGGAGTGGAAAATGAGGAGGTGCACAGGTGTAAACAGGAGTCTGCCTTCCAGGAGCTTTCTCCCTTTGTGATAAAACACTAGAAGAAAATTAGTTCAGCCTCAATTGTCACATTGGTTTTTGAAGGGATGTGGTTGGTGAGGAGGGCAAAAGCAAAATAGGGATGCGACCTCCACACCTCTGACTTGGGAGTGAATTTATCTGAAGTTGAAGTAGAGGTATCAGAAGACATAAGCATGCAAACTTAGAAGTGCTGGTAAACAAACTGAGTTCTTGCTGCCTAGCAAATAACCTCTTTCCAACTGGGGATACCACTTCAGGCAAGGAGCGCAAACTGGTGGCTCCTGGTTTAAGTGTCCTGAACACAGAGTCCTCTCAGTGTGGGATTCTTGTCCCCAGACTTGGCTTCCCAAGTGACCTGACAGAACCTGACTGGGTGATATTCTGGAGAATGACAGGCCTGCTGTCATTCTCCAGAACTGCTCTGCAAAGCTGCTAACAGGGTGTGGATAAGACACCTACTGCTGTTGACTTTCAATCCCAGCTGCCTTTATGAATCCATTAGATGTGTACCCACATCTTCAGGGTCTTTCTAGTGAGGTCAGCTTAGACACGATTAGGAGCAACAGCTCAGCAATAACTAACAGGTGAGATACCTGCCAGTTAACCCTGAGTTTGAGGTTCCCTTTTCCATTGAAAAATTCCTGGAGACATGCCTAGAGTTAGTGAAGACCTTATAGGGTGGGACCAGGCACCTCAGCTGTGCCCTTTTTGGTCACACGAAGAACACAGATCCGTCTCTTCTGATTGGAGTTCTCTTCAAAGAAGGACATTGCTATGCTTAAGTGTTTTCTGTGGCCTTAGCACTATGTATTTTTGTTACTTTGGCTCTGTGATTTTCTGAGGGATTGTCTAAGTAGGGTGTGGAGAGAGATCCAATTTTGAAACTCATGGTACTCAGCCTTATCTATCATGATCACCAAGGTTCTTGGCATTTTAAAACATCTTAATACATAAAAATGAGCTCTTAATTTCTATATACTCCTGATTTTGGAAATGTTCTCATCTACTGTCAAAACTCCCCACCATCCCTCCACTCTCAGATGTAAACCTTAGTGCTGCCTGTACAAAAAATGTAGGAAAGTCAGGAGCTAGACAGATTTTTGTGACAGTGGATGCTGAAAAAAGAAAAAAAAAAAAGGAAATGAGAAGAAGAAGGTACAGAAATACCTAGTGTAGGAGTATAGTTTCTATATATGTGTATCTTACATGGAAACTTCATAAGCAGTAAAAGGCTTTCTTGAAAAAGGAGCTACACTTACCAAGCCTTGGGAGATATCTTGCTGCTAGGAGGACAGCCAAAATGAAGATGATAACAATGATACTTGAAGCAGTAATGACATTATAAGATGGAAGCACAGTAGGAACAGCACAGTTATCTTTTTTTCCTGAGACAGGAGAAATGAAACATGAATAAAGGGTCCAACAATATATTGGCATTTTCATGTAAGAGTAGATATGTGAACTTTTGTAGTTCTGGCCAAATTCTAACTCAAATTCAACTTAAAAACATGCCTAATCGATAAACGAATGAAGATGGCACCCAAATTTCTTCCATTCCCCCACATTTGCTATGTGCTGAAATTTTTAACACATCCACAGAGTGTGAAAAGCTGGGTCTTTGTCCAGAACAGGACTGAGACAGGCAATATTTAAAAACATGTAAGATGTTTTAAAGAAATTACTTAGGCTTGGTGGAAAAGTCTGAGTATGCAGCTAGGAAACTTGTATTCTCAAAGGTCCTCTTCAGTCTTTCTTACTGTTTTCATTAGATTTATGTCTAACTTTTTTTCACTTTGGATTCACAGGTGAAGGAGAGTGATGCATTAAACAGATTAGAATAGATTTTTCTGTGTGGCAGGAAAAGAGTGGAGTGGCAGAGTTAAGTTTCAATGGATCTGGAGTGTTTGGCTTTTCACCATTGGAAATGATCATTCTACCATTGGGATATTAGAGTAGATACCAGGCCATTCTTGTACAGTACAGGGCAGTCCTAATTCAACAGGAGGGACACGCTGCATGTTCATAGGTCTCCAGAGCTATGTGCACAGATCTTCACTTTTTCATCTGCATCTGGCACAGTTAAGCATCATTCCAATTCTAAGCTGCTAGCCTGATCTCCCTCCCACACTGTAGAGTTTGCCTCCTGTATTTACCAGGGGCTGTTATTCTGTCTGTTACTCTGTTCATGAAAGGTTTGCTTGGAGGACCATTTACACCATACCAAAAAATGGGAGTGGTTCCACACATTAAACATCAAAAAGTGGAGGGTTTGCAACTGCTGTGAGTGTGTCACTGTTGGCTGCACCCTCCTCTGAGAATCTGTTTGACAACAGTGTATGACTATTATTGCTTCTTTTTTTGTGGCTCTCCTTTTCTATGTAGTATGATATTCATAACCTTCTCCCATTAGCATCTCTAGGGACATTATGCACTACATCCAGCAATAACCAATATTCATAAAGCACTAGCTCCTGGCATTTGTTCTGAAGCTGAATGGCACCTCTCCCCACAAGCCCCTTTGATTTTAGTAAGGTAGATGAATAAGCTACCTTGATGAATAAGGTACAATTCCTTAGGAAAAATAGTGCTTTTCTAACTTCCCTTGAAGTTGCCCTTATCTCTACAGTAAAAACATCAGACCCAGAGACATTTCAGAATACTTTTTTTTTTTTTTTTTTTGGTAACAACAAAAAAACTAAAAAATCCTTTTGGCTTTAAGAATTTTCTTGCAAATCCCCTTCTACTGCAAAATATCTGCACTGTAGTGTGCTGCCTTCCCTCATGCTGTTTCCATTTGTGTCTCAAGCTTTTCAAAGCACAGACATATCCATTATGCTATCACTTCTAAGCCATGCTCAACGATGGAATGCTGTTCATATCAGTTAACCCTATACTGCATATGAAAGCAGAATTTTGCCTAGTCCCTAGCTAACAGTTTCTTTCACTGAAGCAGAGATAAACATGCTTGTTAAATGAGGAAATACTTTTTAAGTGCAACCTATGGCTTTTAAAGCACAAGTCCCTCCATTCAAATACTGGGTACGTGTCACGCAACTGGCAGCAAGACTGTGCTGGTACAGATGGGCACTGAATGGTGGCAACCCCAACCTCTGGGAGTCACCAAGCCTGAGATCACCAGATCCAGATCCAGTTGCTTTCTCAGGCCAGCTGTGACACACAGTAGAGCAGCAGGAAGACAGGGCTGCCTCTGCTTGTCAGTCACTGTTGTTAACCCTCCCTTCCCACCCCTGCTGTCTTACAGCCTTTCAAATACTTTGGTGTGCAGCTCACAGGCAGGATCATTGGGTCATCCTTGCGTGAACAGCTACAAAAAACCTACTGCATTCTTAGGGAGGCAACTCAATAGATTCAACAAAATGGTTTTGTAACAAAAAAATACTTAAAAAGCATACTCAGGAACAAACTGGTGGATGTGGCGAAGTCATCATATTCAATGGAGCAAGTGATGTTGATGTCCTTGGTCATGTTGTGTACCAGTTTGCCAGTGACATTGTATGGGCTGAGGCTGGACTCAGACACCCAGCTGGCATTCCACTCCACGGATATGTTGTTGATGGTTCCAGAGATTTTGGCCTTGGGGTAACCTCCATGAGAAGAACACATTATCACCATCTCAGTCGATTCACAAGAATTAGTGGTTTCTTCTGCTGTTATTTTTGGCTTACTGAAGTCAGCTGAAGGAAGAAAGAACTAGTTATCATTCTGTCAGGTCACAGTGAGGGCTGCAGTCCTGATCACCCATGGTCAAAGCAAAGACTCCCCCACAGGGCATTCTTCCTCTGTCATAATCTGTTTGACCTTTCTTGTGCCCCATGCCAGGCAGAGAGCTGCAGCAGGCTGCTCAACTCACTGCAAAATGACCCTTTGTGGAGCTGCTGAGGTTCAGTCTGCGATTGCTCCCCACCTGGCTCACCATGTGACCGCATGACTCCTGGGATCTGCACAAGAGAGACAGCCTTGCCATTGTTAGCATGTCTTCCACAGCTTCTGCTGCCCACAAGCCCATGGTCTAGGACACCAAGCAATTAGTAACTACTGAAAGAAACTAGCTTAACACAGCATGGCTGACCAGTAGCAAGAAAGGAGAGACACACATTCCCCTCCAGGTCCACTATCTCTTCAGCAATATGACACTGCCATCCAGTCTGGAAAGTCCTTTCAGACATCCCAGCCTGATTCCAGCAGGGTTGAGGGGAACTTTCCCTTTCCTAATCCCCACAATAACTGATCCCCCTTTACCAAAGGGAGCAGAGGATTATCTCAATTGTTATAGCTGGCCTGTTAAGACAGAAAGGGGATTTCTGGAAGGAAAGAAACTGGAGTATTTGTGGGCAGTAAAAGAGATCCGTAGTTTCACATTTTTCAGGCAGTTAACTCCTCAACCCTCATGGTTATAGAGGGTGCTGGCAGTTCACTTCCCTTTTTTCATTTCAGTTCCCAGAAAAACCACTAAATTTGTCTCCCTGCATATATGCCCACCATGCCCTCAGACAAGTAGGCAATAGCCAAGTCTCAGGAGCTATTTTTTGGTTTGTTGTTGAGAAACCTCCTTTCAGATGGGGAATGCTCCTTCACTGACTTGTCTGAAAGATTCCTGTAACTCTTTGCTGTTACAGGTATTCAAATTGATGTATATATTTATATATGTTACCAGTATCTCCATCTTTGGTTCAGACCAAGTGCCACAAAAACAGTGGTGGAAATGGAAAATATCAATGGAACTTTTTGTGGCCTCTGAGAGAAGATTCAGGTTCATTTTGAGCAAAGGAACTCGGTTTCCTTAAGGTAAAAAGCCTCACATCTCCAGCTGAGTTCAACCTCAGACTGGAGCTGGGGTGCAGCCGGTGAGCTGACCAGTCCCCAGCGAGCCTGGACTCCCCAGGGGTTGGATGCAGGGCTGGGATGCTGCTGTGGCCTCCCCATTCCTCTTTTGGCTTGGACACTTGCCATGCACCAAAAGCTCGGTTTTGTTTTGCCCAAAAGACAGCAGGGGCTGCCTAGGGCACCCAGCAGCAGTGGTACCTGCAGAGGGGTCCTGGCAGGGGCCTTTCACAAGAGAGAGGCATCAAGGGGAGGAGGTTGGGCTGCTGGTGGTGGTGGTAAAGGCAAATTTTCTGTACTTGGAAAGGTAAGGAGGGAGGCTGCGAGAATGGAAACAGTTAACACACCTTCCAGCACTCTTTTAGGCTTCCTGATGAAAGTCTATATGCTACACTATGAATAAATCTTGGAGGAATGTCCTTTACCCCCCCGAGTTGGCACTGGTGTCAGAAGGCAACCCACCTACCTGTAACAAAAAGGTCCACAGGCTGAACGCACAGAACAACTGACTTCTGCTGAAGTACACAGTTATAAGAGCCATTGTCCATGATTTCCACAGGGGAGATCCACAGGGTGAGGTTCCAGGGGTCCATCTCTGTCCGGTTCATGGGCTTGGGCATCAAATTCCCCTCTGAGTAGGCTATCACTACCTCCGTAATGTTCTTCTGCCAGTAGGCCCGGTAAGTATGGAGGCTTTCTGAGCTGGGAATTTGACGACAACAAGACAGGCTGACCCTTTCCCCCACTTTGGTATTGACCACATTCTTCAGTGCTTGGCCTGTAGGTGAGGGGCAAACAAAAGTCAGTGAGACAGTGCATAGCCTTGTGCTAGGACCTGTTGCCTAGAACTCACCTCTTTTGGCTCTGTCTGCACCCGCTCATGTACCTCATTACCCACCAAGCTGCTTACAGCTTCAGCTCTGCACTAAGGGAAGGCCTCCCCTGGCATTGCCTTTTACATCATGCTCCAGTCCTGCTTAGGGCACACAGGGATTACTGCATGGATTGCTGAAGGCAAGGGCAGGAGAGTTACCTGCCTGAACAGAAATTTTGCTGTCCCCTTTACAAAAACACATATGAGCATCAAGAATTGCCATTATTCACATAAAGGGATAGAAGTACTCATGCAGAAGCTGGCTATCTCCTCTGCTCTCCCATTTCAGAGCTCAGTGTTTGGAAAATCTGTGTCACTTTCCAGTGACATGCCAAACAGGGCCACAGTGGACTATTGGTTTGGTGGGGGTTGGGGGCTTTTGGAAGTTGTTTTCTTCTGTAAATATTTTCAAGATCCCAGAAACTAGAAGCAACCCTACAAAGACAAACAAAGGTGGCAGCCACATTGTCATCAGCCTTTTAGTATTAGCAAATTTTTCCTAGTCTGGCTGAAATGAATTTATATTTGTGAAAACTCATGGGCCTCCCTTGGGGTGACCTGGAACCTACAGAGACATTCCTCAACTCCTGCCTCACAACCTTATCAATCATCTCCAGTGGTGGAGGTGGGATATCAATCTGTTACATTCCATTGACTGAGAGCAGGAAAATAAGGAAATAGCTGGCTTCAGGACAGAAAAGATTCGGGTTCCTTCTTTCTTCTGTTCAGAAGACATCTCAGTAAACGTTGGAGAGAGAAAGCAGGAAAGTCCTGGCAGGTGGTGTGTCACTGATGGGGACAGTCCAGCATCCCCCATTGGCAGAGGTGAGAGCCCATGTGCAAAGCCTCTGCCTGAAGCACAAACCGAACGCTTAACACAACTGAGCCTAAGAACTGTTACCCCACATCAAAGTCTGGCTTACATTTCACAGTCCCAGCTAATGCCTAACTGCAGCCATGCTGCGCACAGGCATAGAGTGCAGTGCTCAGGATGCCTGGGATGCTGTGGCATTCAGATTCAGATTCAACTGGTGTCCAAAACAGCTTGTTGCCTGCCAGGGCTCATTTGTTTAGCAGTGATTCACAGACCCTTGGGACGCTGTCACACAACTGGCAGACACCCCTGTGGCATGCTGACCTGTGCTCAGCAGCACACCCCTCTGACACAGTTTGCACTCCTACAGCTGCCAGTGCTGCAGGGAGACAAGCAGATGCTCAGTCAGGGCCCTGCCACAGCTGGATCTTGGGCAGGAAGAGGGCTGTTTGCTGAAGTTAAGCCCAGACAGAAAGCCTAGGACAGAACATTTAACAGACTTGTAGACATGGCACTCAGGGACATGGTTTGTTGGTGGACTTGGCAGGGCTGGGTTAAAGGTTGGGCTCAACAATCTTAAAGGTCTTTCCCAACCTAAATGCTTCCATGACTCCAAGGTTCTATGAAACAAGCTTTCAATTCCAACCCTTGCAGCACACCTACCCCTGTCCCACGTGCACACTTCACATCAAACCTGTAGGAAACACACTGAAAAACACTGCAGAGGTCCTGGCAACACTATGGGATGTTTTGATATTAATTAAATAAAATAGAATACGTAATTTAATGAAGAACTTCTTTTTTAACTGGTTTCCCTCCCCTCAGCTGCTCCATTGATCTTCCAAAGGGCAAAATTCAATTTCCCACCACCACTGCCTGTACTTTCCCTTACAATGCGTTGCAGATTCTGAGCAACCAAATTGGGGCAGACCTTCTTGGCCAGTAACTGGTAGCAAAATGGTAGGAAAACTAGTTCTTCCACACCATTTGGGATGAGAACTGCCATGTCTTGCCAGCCCTTGGCAGCCTGAAATTTTGGGATTTCTTGACATCAGCAGTTTAACTGCTACTGCTAGACCTACCCTTCAGGAAGAATTCTCACCCTTTCATGAATGCACATATATTTTTGGCTTTCACAACATCCTGTGGCAACAGGTTGCACAGTTTGATTACATGCTGTCTGAAAAAGCATTTCCTTCTGTTCACCTTAAGAGCAGCACACTTTAGACTGTGATTTTTGAAGTTCCTTTTCCTGCACTTCTGTGTTCATTTGTGTGCATGTGTATGTTTTTTCCCTTGACCACATCTTTGCTTGTTCTCACAGTTCAGCTCTTACTATTGTTGGAGGGACTCAAAAGAGCAGCCAGCCAAACTTTGGGATTGTGGAGCCTGGTAAAGACTGTTTTGTATTTTCTTTTGCAGCAATAGGGGAAGAGTGGGTGTACAGTAAATGTCAGGGTGACATCACATCATGAGTTGCATGAGGTTCTCTGGACCTTGCCCCTAAGGGTCTCCTTTGCAACCAAAAGGAGAACAAAAACCTTCTCGGCAGTACATGTGCAGGGGCTGGAAACTCCTGCTGATGTCACATCTACCCTTAAAAGGCTTTGCACCCTTGAAACTGCAACCTGAATGCTACAGGCCTGAAGGAACCAAAGTCCATGAAGAGTCATTCAGCCCCACAAAAGTCCCCTTTCACTTCAAAGGTGAACTGCAAAGCAAAAATGAAAATTCAGTTCTGTCCCGTTTCTGTGTTGAATGCTCTCTGTAACCAGGCTGTGGGAAAGGTATCCACTATGGAAATAATTTTTAATGAATCTTCTAGAATAAAAGATCCCTCCTCTTCCCATCCCTCAGAAGCCCACTCACTTCCTTGCTGTGCACACACGACTCTGTCACTGGAAGCCCAACACTGAGCCAACAAAAGGGCTGCCTTTCTGTTCCCTGGGCAGAAAAACATGTTTTATTCAAACTACTCCTCTGCTGCAGATGCCACAAATGGCAGGGCTAATTAGGACAGAAAGGTGAGTGTAGAGGAAAAACATTCTTTCCTGTTTGCCCCAAGAGTCATCAAGCAGGAGAGCTCTTGAGCCCGTTATCCCTGTTTCCTTCACTCTTTGCCCAAGCCTTGTTTCAGAAATTCCCCAGGCACAGACAGGTTGGTTATCCTGACTGCACATACAGTCAGACAGTACAAGAGAGCAGATTGCCTCTGGAACAGAAGTCCTGTAGAGACATTTGACACTATAAGGCAGATAAAGACCAAGCAATGCTCTAGAGAAGCTGTCTGAACTGTTGAAAACCTTTATATATGTCCTGGTGAACAGAAGCTACAAAGCCATTCTCTTTCCCATGTTCCCCATTTCTCTGCCTTTCTGAGCTGCTTTGCCTTTATTTGGTCTTACCTTGTGTAACCTTGCTTTGCACATTGCACAAAGCAGCACACATGAAGGGAAGTGTGGGCCTGGAGTCCTTTGCCCCTGTGTAAGCAGCAGGTAAGACACTGGGTCTGCACATTTTTTTGACAGTCCTGCAAAAAGCTCTAAGACAAATTGTCGGTGACCCTCCAAAATTGAGAGGGTCAAAACAGCCTTGATTTTCTTTTTTTCCTTCAGGTTATCTACTTATCTTTACAACAACAGCTGGTATCTCTACTTGTACATTTATGGCATCACTGGCTTTGCCTAGGACCATGCACCTGGGACCCCCTCTCTGCTGGGGCACTGACAGCTTTCTTGCCCTCCACCTGTGCATGGGCTGAAACAGGGACATGAGGCAGCTCTGGCAGGAGGTGCACAGCATGTGGTGGTGAGCACTTCTGGTAACTGGGGCTGGTCAGCTGAGGAAACCCCATCTTGTGGAGCTGCAGTTTTCTCCTGGTGGCCATCCCCTTGGGTCAGTGTGACACCTAACAGTCCCCAGATAATTCTGCAGCTCAGGCCCCTCATTTTCCGTGAATAGCACATTCACACCAAATTTGCATGATTTATCCTTTGAGGGCAATGCAGTATTTCACAGGGGTTTCCAAGCAAGCCAAGTTGAAAAATCAAGACATTTTGAAAAGCCAAGTCTTTAAAAGACTAGATACTCCCCCTTGGTCTCTTCTTTATCCCGAGTGATTTTACCAATGAGGAATGAGATTCTCCCAAAGCTTTCCATGGAGTTAAAATTCAGAAAACATCCTCTGCTACATGAAGAAATGCTTTGTGTTTAAATCAGTGTTGTGATAGACTCCTGTAAATACACTGATCACAGAAATACCCCGTTTAATGCCCAGAAAACCTCTATGTGGAGACATTGTTTGAGGAGTGGATAAAAACACTGCCTCCCTCTGCCTTTCCCTGTAAAGACCCTGTGCATTAAGAAAGATGAGATGACACAGAAAAGTGGGTGCTGGCAGGCCCTGCTGCCTGTGCTCTTTATGGAGTTTGTGACTGCATGTTAACCTGGGCATGAGTGCCTGACAAACCTCCAAGGCTCCTTCTACCCAGACTTCACTCTAGCAAGTAAAGGCACACAAAGGGAGGTCCTGGCAAGAAGAGAAAGGAGGAATGGCCCTTTCCCCTTGCACAACCCCAAGCTCAGTCTCTGGTCACAAACCACAGGCCTGCTGCTGCTCTGGGCTGCTCTGGCAAAGCAAAGCAAAGCAGCTGCAAACTCAGATTGCTTCATTTCGGACAAGTTCCCTTACTCATCCCAAATGTGGTGAGAGAGAGGAGCAGAAAAGAAGGCGTCTCAAAGAAAAACAGTGATGCACTTCTTTCAGCAGCGGTTCCACTCAGTCTTGCTTCCCTGTACCTGCTCACCCTAGTCAAGTGTGCCTGCAGGAGTTATGTGACAGGATTAATCCTAGTGTGCAATGATGTCATGGCAGGCCTGAGGTATGGTCTGAAGAGGTTTTTCTAAAAGTTCATCCCTGCTTGTTCCTGTGGTGTAACCCAGAGTGTCCTGCTTAGAGCAGTATAGCAAGGGCACAGCACCCTTTACACAGCTTTATGCACTTCCCATCTTCACCCTGCCACATTCCTTCTAAACAAAACTGTAACCTTGCTTTGCCCAGCTCTATACTGTTGATTTGGCAATGATCATA